GGAGGCCCTCCCCCTGTGCTGGGGGCTAAGTGTACACTCAGTAAGTTCTCAGTAACTGATAGATGAGCGCACTGGGTTTTCTTCATCCTCTTTCCCTCTCTTAAAGTTTGGAGGCTTTGGCTAACCTGATGCAACTCAGTGCCTTTGCATTACTGTCCAAATAAAATAATAATTGGCATTTATTCAGCTGTCACAAAGTGCTAGATGGTGTGCTGAACCCCTTACATTATTTATAATTCTCACCACAACCTCATGAGGTTATCATCATCCCAATTTATAGACACGGAGACTGAAACTGGGGGAGGTTTTAAGTGGGTCACCCAGCAAATCGAATGTGCAAGCCCAGATCTGCTGACTTCGAAGCTCCTTTCGTAAATGACCATCCTGGGCCTTCACAAAAATGACCCCTCGATCGCAGCACAGCCCACAGGGTGGGCCCCTTTGCACTCTCACAAGGAGAGCATTTTCCTCCCTGGTTCCTGGCCAACTTGCATACACTTAGTGCAGGAGGTAGACTTGGGAGTGGAAGTCTCTGCCATTTTCATTTGAATATCTCCAATGCCACTGCCATCATCTTAATGCATGAAGATGCATAAAGTATAGTAAGTAACCAAATCAAGTAAGAACTGTTTCCATTCGAGGCAAAGAAAACAGCTTGCCTGGCCACTAGGGATATAGGACCTTCATTAACTGGAATGGATCCTGGGGGTTGGGATGAGCCATCCTGACTTAATGAATTTAACTGGTCTTCTTGTTTTCACTTAAAAACCAAGAGCATTCGGTCAGACCATCCCAGAGTATGGTAAGGATGATTTTATTCCTATAATACTAAGAGTGAAAACAATTATTAGTTCATTACACTGCTGTGTGTTCACTCTTTTCTTTTTTTTTTTTTTTTTGCTTTGATTAAATCTGTGTAAAGGAAGAGAATTTATTTGGCCATCACAGTATTGGCAAATTGCTAAGATAAATTGCCTTTAGCCAGTTAAAGATTTGTTGAGCAGTTGCTCTTTAACCAGCCTTAGGCAAGGTACTGTCAAGGAATAGAAGTATAGAACATGGTCTCCAACTGCAAAGGATTTACATTCTACTTAAGAAGGTAAAAAATAACACCTGCAAAACTAGCACAAAGACATGTTGGGGACATGGGCACAGCAGCATGGGATATAGCGTTGAAGCACTTGGGCTCTGGAGCCAGACTCCCTTGGTTCAAATCCTAGTTCCACCATTGCCACATGTTCTTTGGCCTATCATTTTACCTCTCTGTGTTCCGTGTTCTCATCTGGAGGACAGGATTATTACTGGCATCTACCTCCTGCATGTAAAGTACTTAGCACAATGCTGGACACTTAGCAGGCACTCAGTATATGTGTTGCTACTGTTGTGGCTACTACTGTCAAGCATTAAACTGTGACTTGTAAGATTGGCTCCAAGTGCATTGGAGAGATCAGTGAAGGCTGGAGTGATCCCAAATGACTTCGTGAAGAAGGTGGGACTTGAGATGAGTAGGCTTCAGCTAAGCAGGTGGAAAGAAAGAAGACATTTAGAAACATTTAGAACAAGCTAAGAAGAAGCAGGTATGATTACGCCAAGGGCAGAGTACAGGTTCTGAGAAAGCAAACCAGAGGAGAAGGTGTGTTTGGGATTGCAAGAGCTGAAGTTGAATAGATAGGTGGGCATGGAAACCAGGCAGGGGATTTTGCCTTGATGCAGTGGGGGGCCCACTACACGGTTGGTGAGGAGAGCATTATGAAGCTGAGGTGTAAGTGACTTGTTGGAAGGACAATGAGCCGAAGGCAGGGCACGATCCATGAACCATGACAGGAGGACTGACCAGAGGGACAAGGAACCCAAGACAAGTTTCAGCGAAGAGCTTAAACAAGAAAGGGCAAATGTGAGAGACATGTCAAAGAGGGAAACAGGAAGCCTTGGTGATATGGGGCGCCTGACCGGCTCAGTCAGTAGAGCATATGACTCTTGATCTCAGGGTCATGAGCTTGAGCCCCACTTTGAGCATAGAGATTACTAAAAAAGAGAGAGAGAGAGAGAAGAAACCTTGATGATGGATTAGCTTGGAGGTTTGAGGAGAGGGACGAGTTCCAGCTGGCTATCAGGTTTCTCCCCCACTTTGAAGCCTGGCAGAATGATGATCTGACCCCCAGAAAAGGGATACTAAAAAAAAAAAAAAAAAAATACTCCATTTGCATCCTAAAATATTAAAGTGAGAATAAGCTTTTTAAGTCAGGTCAGTCATTTAGTAAAATTTTCTACCTAGCACAAGAATCTCCTTTATAATGTCTTATTCATAGTAAGATGATTTAGTAAAATAATGAATTTAGATTCGTAGTTGCCACATTTGAGATAAAGGTGGGACACCCTAAAGGCTTTGATCCCTTTGACATTTGCAAATCAAGAACTGGGACTTCCGAGGAGAAACAGAGTCTGTGTAGGGTTTCCAGCCCTAGTCTCAGAGAGATGGGAAGGGGTAGTCATGGGAGAGGGTGTGTCTCCCAAGGGAGTTAAGTCAGAGGGAAGGGTCCCGGCACTGCGGCCTCTCAGACGCTCGCAATTAGCAAGTGGGGGATGGAGAAGAGCCTAAGGCAGAGACACGAGAAAGGCTTGGAAAGGAAGGAAGGACATCAGGGAAGAATAAATTCAGAGAAGATAATTAATTCATTTCTCATAGAAATGTTTGAGCTTTGCAAAGTGTTGGAGTATGCTAAGTTTTACTCCTTTGTTGCTGAGATTATTAGTATTGTTCAAACGTGAAAAGTGTGCTAAAATAGCACAAGTGTGACTAGAGCCACTAGTTAAATAAACATGACGTCAGAAGTGACAATAGAAGTATAATCTACCCAGTGCAAATTGGTAAGAAACACCCATGGGCCTTGAAATGTCACGATGCTTCTCAAGAGTGTTGAAAAGTCAAAATGCTTTACATGTTCTTTCTCATCATAAATCGTTCTCAAGGTAATGATATATTATCTTCCACATTTGAAAGACAAGGAGAAAGAATGTGGTAGGATGTCATCCTATTCTGCTCACAAGCCCCAGTGGCTTCCCATCACACTTAGGATAGAATCCAAAGACTTTAGTGGGGCTTGCAAAGCCCCATAAAATCTGTCCTTGTAGCCCATTTTATTTTTCTTTATAGCATCTGTCACTGTCTGACATATATAATGGCCTGTCATTTATTTTATCTCCTTCCCAGACTGAGCTGCAAGCTTCATGAGAGCCAGAGGTTGAGCTCACTGTTGCATCCCCAGCACTAGGTACGGTGCCAGGCACGTGGGGAAAACTCAGAAATACTTATGGTAGGAAACAAGAGAGAACAAAACCAGTCAGCGGTAGTGGGGGCTTGGTGCTGTTTTGTGGTCAAACTTTGATAACTGAATATATCCACAACCCTCTCTTTTCTCCTACCTATAGCCTGGATGACTGTTAACCTTATTTTACCTGAGGAAGACCAGGGCAAGGGGGTATGAGTGATTGGCAACCAGTTACCTGCTTCATCTCATTCTATTCCGAAAAGGATTTTCCACTTTGTTTTGCTGTGAACACTCCCAAGGCCTCTGGTCACCTAGACTTTCTGCTTATATAACCCCCTGAGCCACAACTCTAGTGATCTAGGCCCCCCACTCCTCACAGAGCAAAGTCTGGGGCTCCTTCCGCCTGAGATTCACTCCACACTTCATTTGGCAGTAAGAACACAGGGTTTTCCAGGTGTTTCTAAGTGTCATAAGGGTGATGCTCTTCTGCAGTCGGCAGTTGTGAGGCCCTTACAAGGGTATCCAGATGATGGCAGACAGTGACACTGGTCACTGAGGACGAGGAGAAGACCCACCAGAGAGCAGGGAACTAATAATAACAAGCCTCCTGAGGAGCTGTGGTGGTTCAGCCTGGAAAGGAAAGCTGGAAGGGCGAATCAGCTGTCCAGTTCCTCCATCATTCAACACATCTCTATCTAGTTTCTTCTGTGCACCAGGCACTGGTCTCGGTACCGGAGATAAGGTAGCCATCCAGAAAGACATGCTCCTGCCCTCAAGGACAGTCTCTTATCTCTTGAGAGAGGCGTGCTTCAAACAACTAATGTATTCATCTGCCCCTGGAATAGTAGTAGCCACAAAGAATGAGAGGCTCTGACCGCACAGTGCTAGGAACCAACCCCAGTCCCGTGTCCCAGCAAAGCCTCCCTGTGCAAATAACATTTAGGCTAAGAACAAAGGAGCAGGAGTTAGCCGTGGGGTCGGGACTTCAGCAAAGGGAACAGCCTGCCCCGTGGCCCTCCAGCAGGTGGGAACCATCGGAGAAGGGCAATGGAGAGGTGCCCAGGATAACAGGAAGTGGCTGGAGCAGTAGGGAGGAGGGACCAGATTGTGCATATGGGCCCAGCTGGAAGGCCCTTGCAGGAGTGCAGGCAGGGGACAGGGAGCGAGTAAGGACTGGAGTGAGGGTAGTGAAGATGCCCGGACACATTCACAGGAGTGAAGTGGACTCAGCCTGGAGAGTGATAAAGCAGCAGGGGCCGAAGAAGACACAGGGAAGATGGACTGAGCTCCTTCCCTGGGCAGGCCCCGCGCTGCCTTGTGAGGGCGCAGTGATGGGCAGTTAGACGCAGCATCTAGATAAGGAGGGTTCTCGGCATTCTGGTCTCATCAGCTGGGCAGTTTACAAGGCAACAAATGGTGAAAAAGAAGCAGAATTCTGGGGAAGGTCAATTTTGGATGTTGTATTTGAGAGGCCCTTTGAGGCCTCCCAGCAGAGACGCTGAGGAGAGAATCCATTGTACCGATCAGGAATTCAGGAGGGAGTGCCCATCGGGTGATCCACACACAGGTGACACGGGAGTCAGGAGAGCGGTTGAAGCCAAGAGAGGGAGTACAGTCCCCCGTCGTGACACAGAGCTCATGACCACTCAGTTCAATCTCAACAGAATCAGGGAAACAGGATGGAGAGGTCGGTGACAAATTATTACTTGTAACACCCGCATGTTTACTCACCACAGAAAATGGCTTGGCCTCAGGCTCGCTGCTCCTCACTAGGATTACAGGAAGGTAAATGACGCAAGTCCCATGGTGGTTCCAGGACCTGGGCCTCGGTGACAGCACCGAGTCAGGCTTTCAGCAAGGGCTTTACCGTGGGAGGTACAAAATCTGCAAATGCTGCTTGGAAAACAGTGGAAAAGATGTTTCAAGTCCCATGCATTAAATACATATATATCATGTATGGCCTTTGTCTGTTGGCCTCAAAGAATCCTAAACTGTTAAAGTAATTCAGTCAGAAATAAACACTAGAGTGATGATAATTCCTTTATTTTTTGGTTCAGCTAAACATTGAACAAGTTCACTGAGTTTCTGTGGCCTCCAAAGCCCATGATACCAGTGACACAGATTATCCTACAGATTATTTGGCTACGTTTCCTCTGATAAAATGCAAAGGAGAGGAAATGGCATTGGCATCTGAATCCTGCTCCCAAACAGGAGAATTTCAAGAAGAGCGAATCAGCTGGTTACACAGTAGGGCCAAGTTCATTGTAACATAGGCCTCTGGACGCTGTCTCCTTTTTTCTACAAATCCATACTGCTTAGGAGACAACTTTGATCCTGACTTAACTGCCTGTCATGGTATCTTCAAAAAAATATGAGGGGGCGGAACTTTATTTTCAAGGGAAAGGCAGTGTTTACACCCAGGAGATCCTTTCTTGCAGGTTTCTGAGCTTTCTTGACTTCACCCGAGGCAAGAGCCCACTGCAGCCCCCTGCAGGGCCACCTTTGGGGTTGTGTAGGTGGTATTCCAGACAGCCCTGGGGGTTCTCATAGACTGGGGTTTGCAAAGTGCAACCTGCCTGGCCCTGGACAGAGACACCTGCCCCCACCCCCACTACATACCGTTTGGAGCTGCTTCTGTGCTCCCAGAAGGTGGGAAACCAAGGCGAGGGGAAGTAGAGGTAATGAGATGAGTAAAAGAGCGGACACCCATCAGTTCTTTTGTTGAAACTGTAGTTAATGATTAACAGATTATCGCTGCTTTAATTTATTAACCTTTTTTCTGCCTTGAAAAGGAAAACGTGAGTTATCTTTAGAGAAGCTCTTTTTGTCAACAGTGCCTGCTATTTTAAGACTGAAAAGAAGTAGGAGAAATTGGACAAAGACATCCTTTATTTTTTTTCTTCCAAAATGCATTAGGTGTAAATATATTGCTTATCTTAGAAAGAAAACTAATGCAAAATATTTATTTACAAAAGCTCCTGCTAATAAGTCTCAAAGCACATATCCACAAATGGTTTCTTATTAGAGATCCATTACAGCCTTTGTTTGAATTTATCTGTTGAAGGTTTACATACTGTAATTCTTGTTGTAGCTGATGTAATGAAAAAACAATGAAGCCACCTAGCACAACGGGCTGATATATTGACATTTGTTTGGGTTTTTGTTAACCTCAAATTATGAAATCTTCTCTCAGAAAATCCAAAATGACTTTATCCAAATTTTGAACAGTTTACTTTCAGCAACACACACCTTCACGAATGTTGAATGATTCCAAGAAAGGAAGAAAGGCTCCTTTTGCTTGTCATTTTGTTTACAGGATTTGTGTCTGCACAGGGGAAAAAGAAAGTTCTTTTTGCTCTCGAGATGGACATAGATTTCCAAGCCATTTGGCTCAAGAGATAGTTTAAATAGGAATGAATTTAATATACCTTTAATTCTCTGAAATAAGAGAACCCCAGCTGAGTTCTGGTCCAGGGCAAAGTCTGTTCTCGACACTGAAGAAAATCTATCACGTTAATCCCAGCGGCTCAGAGTCCAAAGCTGCGTGAACAGAATGCTCGAGGGTAGGTTCTCACACAGCAGAACGCTTTGAAAGAAACTTTAAAAACAAAACGACTGTTCGGAGAATACCAGGCCTTGTGTGGAATCATGCAGTACTTAAGAAAAGATAGAAATAATTATGCTTGAGAAACACAGCTAATTAAAAATAACTCAGTGAATAAAAGGAAAACTATAGAATAACTTTTCTGCTCCAGTGTAAATGTAAGATGCCTCATAATGAAATAGGATTTTTTAAATTTCATTTCACACTGGCATAAAAGAGATGGAGAGGAAAATTATATTGCCAGAAAATGCCAGGGTAGATTTGCTAAAGACGTTATCATGTACTGTGTTTAAAACAAAAATCTAATTGCTGTAATTTATCATACCTCTCGTTATTAAAACCATGCTAATTTAAAGATTTTAATTATTTGCCACTTTCGCATATTGTGACTTTTCATAGAAGATACTATGAAAATTTCTGATTCTGTCAGCCTTTGTATGATTTTTTTTAGGAGATCCTAAGTAAAATTAACGCACTTTAAACATATAATTGTGTTTACATCAGTAATAAAAATTCCTTGTGTTTTTCTTTTAGTTTGTTCAATGAAATTTCTGGAACTGCTTTATAATCGCTGAGCTTAATATATGAGAGCACAGGCTGCTGAATCAATTTTAATTCCCTGTACACATATCTAGCCTTATGAAGAGCAGGGTGGATGCCACTCTTCCTTTTGGATTGGGGAGAGGATTTTTTTAATCTGAGAAATTTCAAAGGAAAGATTCTACTGACCTGGGCATGAATTTGTTGCTTGGTCTTGAGAAATCAGACTCATAAGATAGTCATTGAGGCAAGACTACTCTTTAAAAACAAACAGTAGGGGCGCCTAGGTGGCTCAGTCATTAGGCGTCTGCCGTCAGCTCAGGTCAAGATCCCAGGGTCCTGGGATCGAGCCCCACATCGGGCTCCCTGCTCCATGGGATGCCTGCTTCTCCCTCTCCCACTCTCCCTGCTTGTGTTCCCTCTCTCGCTGTGCCTCTCTCTGTCAAACAAAATCTTCAAAAAAAAAAAATTTTTTTTTTTAATTAAAAAAATAAAAAACAGTAAATAGTACGCTCTCTGGTGGGTGGGAGAAAGATAGGGAGGTAAACAAGGGATCATAGAGTACATAAGAAAAAGCTGTCCCAGGAGTAAAGATGGCCACTATCAGTGATGGGGGAAAAGGTGGAGGGAAGTAGCCAGAGGCAAAATCATTTCTCTGCTGTGGGTTTTGGAGGCCTTGGGAGTTAGAGCCCATTTCTATAAAATACATGGGCTGCAGCAAATTGTCTTCACCTTGGGAGAAGCATGATGTTTGGATATGGTTTCTGTGTACCTCATAAGAGCACGCTATGGTCTTCTATACCAAAGAATTCATGAGAGTAGCATTATGATTTAATACTGTATGTATTAATTAGAATATGACATCATTTCAAAGCAAAGGAAAAAAATACATAAAATTAGTTTCCTAAATCACAAGTCAGCCCCACATCCAGACCAACCCTATGGCATTCAGTGTGGTCACAGATTCAAGTTCTAGAAGCCAGGACTTTAAGGGGCTTTGAACACCAACCTTTTGATGGGAAAAATAAATTAGACTAGCTTGCTTAAGGTCACAGAGCCAGGACCAGATCCCACAACTGCTCAGTTGTAGTCCATTCTTGCTTACCACCTTCCCATCATCCTCTGTGACCTTGCTGCTGTGAAAGTGGCTTCCTAGCACTCCCCCCTAGCCCCACACCCGGCGCCATGCTCCCTGCCTGCCGAGTCACCGCGTGTTCTTTCTGCAGGTGCAAAGTTCCCCATTAAGTGGACGGCTCCCGAAGCAGCCCTGTATGGGAGGTTCACGATCAAGTCTGACGTGTGGTCTTTTGGAATCTTACTCACAGAGCTGGTCACCAAAGGAAGAGTGCCATACCCAGGTAAGAGCGGGACCTAGCAGAGACAGGCCTCTGATTGGATGCTCTCTTCACCCTTTACCTTCTAGGCCCCATCCTCAACTTTCTGCCAAGCGAGAGTTTGAGGAACATGGACAGGTATTTAGCCAGGGAAGAGCAGGACTGGGAGCCACCATGGACATCACATAGACAAGCAGCTGCTGTGCGTGGCGTGCCCGGATTCGTGTAAACAGCAGCGAGGATGAGCGCTTCAGTGCCCCCCAGGTCGTGCAGTCTGTGCTCTCTTGGTCGGAGCTCGTGGCTCCAGGCGGAGCGGTGGTGCTGACACAGCCTCACCCAAATAGTTTGCGGGCACTTCCAGGACAGAGAAGGAGAAAAGCCCCCACCGCTTTTTGATTACACCATAGCATTGACCCATGAAGTGAACCTGGCAGGAAAATGCCAGGACCTGCTCTCTCTGCAGGCCCCAGCTCCAGATGGCCAGAGAGAGCAGAGGCACATTCGGAACGCAGTTTTGAGGCCACACACCGCCCATCCGAACAGTCAAAATATGCCCCACGAAAGCAAGAGTGAAGTAAAGAAATTGGAGAGTCTTAGGCCCTGGAAATTTTCTGGAGTATCGGATTCATGCTTTTCAAAGAAGCCACAGATTTAGGTTGTCCACCCTTAAATTCATTAATTTCAACAGATGCTGACGTAAAGGACACTCATGCCATTTCACCTCCACGCTTTAGTGGTTATATTCTAGCACATGGGTGATCTGCTTTCTGAAATGTTAAGAACATATTTTTCAGTTACTGTTGAGTGAAGAAAGAACGTAGCTCCCCCTCATTCCCTGCCTAAGGAGCTTAAAAAAAAAAAAAAAAAGCCGTGATAGAAACGATAGTGGAGATTAATGAGGAATTGAGGTCTCTTGCAAATCCTGGGTTTGTAATTCTATCTTTGCAGTCAGAGGAGACAGCGAGGGCAGATTAATTTGTAACCCCTTTGTTCGTTTTTTATGATTATTTCTGGTCAGCTTCGGAGAATGCAGAGAAGTAGAGAGGATCTCTTCAGGTTGGCGTGGCCTTGAGACTCCTAGCAGAGGCAGGTTGGCACAGAGACAAAATGAACAAAATGCCCTGTCTCTGAAGCGCCAGCACGGGGCGTCTCCGACGCGGGTGGCGGTCAGTTTTAGGGAGGCGGCGGCGGCGGCTGCCCCCAGCACGTGGAGGGGGCAGACGCCCCGCAAGGAGCCAGCCAGCGTGGCAGAAAGGGCTGCCCTAGGGGGTCTGGAGTGCAGCGTGGGCATTTTTGAGTTGCTTCTTGAGGGGGGGAAATGTGCAGGTCTTGGGATTTTGAAGATAGGAAGGCACCTTTTTTTTTGCCTGAATTTTGAACGAATTTCTCCCTGAATGCCCCAGGTTTACAGTCAGCCAGTGTGTTGAATGCCCCAGAGGGGAAAAGGTTAATGTTGTTTTGCGTTTCTGTAAAGGCTTTCCTTTCAGTGACACAAAGCCACTTCTTGTTCCTCAGGGTTGCACACAGAAACCAGGACAAAGGGGCAGGGGCTGGGGCCCCAGAGAAGGCAGGCAGGTGTGTGCTTCTGAGGGAGAGGCTTTCCCCGAGTTTGGATTTAGCATAAAGAAAATGGCCTCATTTTATAACTCAGACTAGGATTCATTCAGCATAGCGTCCGTGAGTGTGAACTGTGCCGGGCATTTTGCTCTACCTGGGAAGTGAGTACAAATAAGACATTCACACTCTGAGGAAACAGATTAAAACTTTCCTGGAGCAAGGCGCTGTTTTGGTTGCTGGGGATGTAGAACAATGAGCAAATAAATAAATTTAGTCCCTGCACTCATGGAATTTACAGTCAGATAGATAAAATATGCATCAAGTCCAGGAAGAAATCAGTCTTCTCTGATACTTATTTATTATTAGAGGGAATCATCCTCATGGGATGAATTACTTGAATTTACCCCCTGTGGGCCTCGACTCTTAATTCTGATAATGGGGTCAGGGACATGTGATTCACCTATCTACAGAGGGCCTTTCCCTCAGAATCCAGTGAGGGTGGCAAAGGAGTTCTCAGTGAGAACGAGGTCCACTTGCCTATGTGTAGTTACATACCGTGAGCAGCTGCTGACGTGCCAGGGGGCTGGGAGGGCTGCTCTGCTTCTCCGAGGGTAACAGGACGGGTTGTGTCTGGGAAGCTTCATGGAACAGGCAGGCAGGGCTTCCTTCCTCAAGTCAAGGAAGAGGGAAGAATGTCCTGGATATGGACGGGCATATGGGAAGGCACCAGGGCCGAGGAGGACAGAGCCTCTTCAAGGAGCTGCAGGAGAAGGAATTTGAGGGCCGTGACGTGGAGCCTGGGCATGCAGCTGGGAAGGCTGGCCAGAGCCTGTTGTCGTTGTCGTGGGGGCCTGGTGCACTGCCACAGGGAGGCTCTGGGGCCAGGGGGTCCGCAGCAGCGGCCAGGGCGCTGTGTCAGCGGGCGAGCGACAGGAGCAGCTCCTCAGCCACAAACAGCCACAGAAAATGGTTCCCAGGCCTGTTCCTAGCCATGGGTGCTTCCTGTTTTTGTCTTTTAACATAGTTATAATCCTATTTAATTGGACTTCTGGATCTCACAGTAAACTCTTCTTGAGGGAGAGGCTTTTACAGAGGAGTTCCAATTACAAGATTATTACCGTAATGAAGGATACCAATTCCTAAGACAGTGTCATTAAGCGTCATCCTGACGTCACTGTGAAAGGCCCTTCCTCTCCACCCTCTCCCTGTTGGTGTGGCCAAGTCAGTCAGTGCGTGCCCAGGCGTTGCTTCTCTGCTGTGCTGAATCTTTGTGCCTGTTGGGGGTACGCCGGGACAGACTCCCAGGCCCCGTGCCTCATGCCTTCCATTCTGACATCTCCATGCAGAAATTTCTCAGTTGGCCAGAGTACATTTTTAAGTAACTCTTTTTTCCAGAACAGTAGGTGGCGGTATTTTTCTGAATTCTTTCATACCTAAGCATGACCTTCTGTCACCTTCACACAGAGGAAAGGGACTTTGGCTGGTAGATGAGGATGGAGGTCAAGGGAAGGGAGGTGACTTATCCATGGGTTCATAAAGCTTTCCAGGCATTTCTGCCCAGCATGAAAGGAGTTCCAGAAGTAAGAATCAGAGAAGGAGCTTAGAGTGGAGTATGTGAGGTGTGACCACATGAAGAGCAGAAGGGTTGAGGAGAAAATGAAACATGGGTCGGCTGGTTAGCGAGTTCTGTAAAAGGAAGGGAAGGACAATCTCAAATTCAATGACAGCCTTAGAGCCAAAGAAAAAAATACTGAAATGCAGAAAGGAATCTGCAGAAAGGAGGGTGGGGTGCGTGGGGAAAGGAGTCACACGCACCACACCCTCCCAGACAAAGGTTGTTTCCAAGAGGTGTCACAGAGATGCGCGCTGTCCCAGAGAACAGCTCCACTTTACAGATGCCCTGGGAGCAGCCTGACTTGAACACATTCTAGGCCTAGCAGTCTAGCTTGCTTTTCTGTGAGCCGAGGTGCAGAACCATTCTTTGCATCAAGATTAGAACGGATTTTGTACTGATGGACTGTTGTATGTGAGAAATGACAACACTTACATGAAAGGAGTTTTCTGGGGTTGATGTATGCAATCAGAGTTAGGCACCTTCAAACCCTCCCTCACATCCTTCTTTTCCTCTTTGCCTCCACGGCCCTGTGTCAGGCTGCCGTCCGCTCACGGTGACCTCTTCATGGGACTTCCTGCTTCGACTTCTCCTCCCCCCTCACACATTCTATCACTGTCACCACCAGGGTTGTTATCCCAGAAAACAGAGACCCAGTTATCTTACTCTCCTAGTTAAAAACGTCTGTGACTTCCCTTCACCTTCCAGATAAACTCCAGAAGCCTTAGTTTGCATAGTCCTTAATAACTCTTTCGGGGGGGGGGGCAGGGGGGCTCCTTGAGTCATTCCACAAATATTTATTGAGCACCTGCTGTATGCTAGATACTGTTCAAGCACCAGGAATACAGCACTGAACCAGCAGACAAAAACTTATGCCCTTGTGAGTGTTTATTCTTCCTGGAAGAGACAAACAATAAACAAAGATAATAAGCAAACTCTGTTGGCTGGTGGTAATGGGTAGGAAAAAAAGTAAAAGGGGAAGAGGATGGAGAGTGGCAATGGAGGACCTCACAGAGAGACCTCACTGGAAGGGTGACGAATGACCTGAAGGAAACAAGGCCCTGAAAACAGCAAGGAGGCCAGTGTGGCTAGAGCCGAGGAGACGGAGATCTGAGAGGCCCCTGGGGAGATCAGATAGGGCCTTCCTAGGTCATTGTGAGGACTTTAGCTTTCATTGTTAGTGAGATGGGGAGTCACTGAGGGGCTTGTGTGGGAGAGTGACATGATCAGATGTGATTTCTCTCTTGCCACCCCCAACCCTCACACTGAGATATCCCTCTGATGTGAGTCGCTCTTCTCAGCTTCACTGTCTGCCTCAGAATCCTTCAAAGCCCAACCCAGACATCACCTCCTCTGTGCAGCTTTCTTCATGTCCATACCAAATGACTTGCCCTGTCTGCTTGCTTCCATGACACCCGGTACATCTCTGTTAAAGCCCCCATCCGTGTGTCTGTAATTCACGGTAGCTCTGAGGGGACAGGAGCTCCTTTAGGTATTTCCAGTGCCCAGCAGTGTCTGCCCCATAGTAGACTCTCAATAAGTGTAAGCACGTGGATGGATGGATAGATGGATGGATGGATGGAATAGCAAAAAAAAAAAAAAAAAAAAAGATGATGCCTATGAGGCTTTTGAAACAAGATTTTTTTGGTTTGGCTGATAGCCTGCAAAGCCTTTTATAACTCTATTTCATCATCTCCACACATAAATATAGCATGTATTGTCCCAGCCACGAGATAGCCTCTGTCCTCAGAGTTGTTCTGGGAAATTGACACTGTGGTCCGGTTGAAACACCACGTTCCAGTACCACTCTGGGCAGACTGTCCTGGCTGTTCTGTGCCCTGGCTCTCAGCTGAAC